CTGCTGTGCATGGGGTCGCTATGAGTCGGAAACGACTCGACGGCACTTAACAACAACAACAACAGTGTAGTTTCTACCTTAGTACAGAATAAACTGTTGATATAACAGAACACTAATATTCTTAAGTAAATGCCTGGCTAGCCTTCTCTTAAAAAGCTTCCCAAACCTCTAATCATGATCCTAGAGGAACTGGAGGGCTCTGCTTTCATTAGGAAAAAATTAGATATAAGCATTGTGTCCAAAGGGTTCTTTAGAAACATGAGAAATTTCTGTTCGTGAAAAAGTTATATAGAAAAGACATTATTAAGAAGTGGACAGAGGGAATCATTTTTACTATGATAATAGAGATACCATAGCACATGAGAGATTCTTGAGTGAAACCCATTTATTTTACATGTTAGGAAACACCAAGAACCCAGGTTCCATGGTTAGAGCTGCATGGTTGAGATGCAGTGCAGATTCCTGACTGCCTGTTGTCCTTTCCATGTCGTCAGATTTTCATCTTGACATTTTCCCTCTAATTCCTCATCGATAGAGCTTTGCAAAGCAGCACACTAAGCGTAGAAGCAAATATAACATTTATCCCAGAGGATAACACAACCAAGCAGTGGGTTATTGGTGCTGTCTTTTAAATGAGTCATCTTTCCCCAAACAGGCTCTTCTTTATTAAGGTTATGAGTTGAAGAAAAATTATCTCTCTCTTTCTTAACTTATGACTGTATTTCACTGTCTAAGTAGTTTATAGATCAGTCCAAAATTGTTTTTTACCAAAACCTCCTTCAAAGTCCAAATTCATTTTCATTAACAAGTGTAATTTCTGGGAATATTGTATTTCACAGAAGGGGATATTTCACAGTTCTGTCCTGATAGTATTCAGGGCTCCAACACAGGGTTTGATTTAGAGTTCTATCAAAGTTCTCAGATCTATTGGATGCGAATGGAGTGTTATCTTTGATCTTTGGGGAAGGACTATTCAAGCCAAAAAGTCTATCAATTTTAAGTCATTAAGAACTAGAGACCAATGACTGGTTGAATGACTTCCTTGTTTTCTTTTTCTCCTGCACCATTTCTGGAGAGGTAATAGATATCTAAATCTGCACAAATTAAATTTGAAAGATAGTGGAATTCAAAAGATTAAAACCAAATTAAGGTCTTAGAACATTAAAAAGTAAGGAGACATATCACAGTATTGTGAGCAAAGGTAAAAGCAACTAAAAGCCATGATCAAGAAATGGAAAAATTTTAATACAAGATTGCTAAAATTGCACAATTCAAATACTAATGGCCATTCTTATAATATGACTTAAAAATATCACAGAACATAAAGTTTTAGAATCAATTTTGAAATATGGATAATAAAATTTTAACATAATTTGTTTTCCCACAAAAAAAGATAAAAGAATGCTAGGGAGTGTCAGCTAATGTAGTTTACCTTGATCTTGATGATTCTGGCTTTTGGTAATTATCCAGGGTAGAATCTTTAGGACGGGATATTTTTGCAGGGGGTTCATAGAATTTTAATAGTGCCAAAGGCACTTGGCTGCTAACCAGAAGGCTGGCTGTTCAAACCCACCTGCCACCCCTCAGAAGGAAGGTTGGGCACTACTTCCATAGTGATAACCGCCTCAGAAATCTAAGGAGGGGTCTCTATGTGTTGGGGTCAACTCGAGGGCACATAACAACAACAGCAACAACAACGTATCTAAAAGCTATGAATCAAAGCCATGAGTCAGAAAAACTTCGTGCGGTTTCAGTTATAGCCGTTTATACTATCTGGCCTCAGGGCAAACAAGATTGAAACAAGATGCAGTGGGACCCCACTCAGGAGTCCTTTCTAAGGTCAAGAACATCTCAGCAGAGAAAGACTGAGCGTTCTGAGGTGGGAATTCTGAGAGGAGTTGCTAGCAGCTTGCCAGAGACAGCATTGTTGATGCTAGAGCATTGTTGGAATACTGAGATAGAGCGTCTTAGTGCTACAGTAGCGGAAATACCACAACCGGATGGCTTTAAGACAAACATTAGTTTTCTCGCAGTTCTGGAGGTTGAAAGTCCAAATTAGAGTCGTGGCTGTTTGCTTTTGTTGAAGTATCTTCCCTAGTATGTGAGTCCCTCTGTTTCATTTTTTGTTATAATTCCAAAGGGATTAGGTTCAGGGTACACCCTATATTGGCATAGCCTTATTAACATAACAAGAAATCTAATTCCAAAAGGAATTATACCTGTTGACAAAGAAGTTAGATTCCAGCGCATATTTTGGGGGAATACCATTCAGTCCATGACATGGGAGAATGCCAAGAAACCAACAAAAGCCACGTATGAAAGAAGCTCAGCAGTAGTGACCTGGTATCAAATGATAAATGTTCTAGACACACAGCACTGGGACCTTCCCCTTAATCCTCTGAAATCAACTCCACAAGGTTCAGAATTGTACAGAAAATGTAGATGACTTTGTTTTGGATGAAGTTTTGGAAAATAATTTTATCATAAATCATAAACTTTCTAACCAATAGTAGATTGAGTATCAGTAAGTAGTCAAGATCGTAAGTAGTCAAGATTCTTTTCCATGAATTCATAATATCAACCAAGTAGGTCCTGCTTTAGGTGGTGTTGTTGTTGTTGTTATGTGCTGACTCATAGTGACCCCCTCCATGGGTTTCTGAGGTGGTATCACTATGGAAGTAGATTGCCCAACCTTCCTTCTGAGGAGTAGCTGGTGGCTTTGAACCATCAGCCTTCTGGTTAGCAGTCAAGTGCCTTAGGCACTATGCCACCAGGTAGGAACATTCATTTAGAAGAGAATATTAGTAACTGGTAGCTCAGTCTAGGTATTCTCCTAGGAAGTGTATCCCATTTTACAACTGTATTCATTTCCTAGAATTTTTGTAACAAAATGCCACAGAGTAGCTGGCTTTAAACAACAGAAATTTATTGTTTTACAGTTCTGGAGGCTAGGATCAGGGTGTCAGCCATGTTGATTCCTTCTGAGGCTTTGAGGGAAAATCTGTACTGTCTCTCTGTTAGCTTCCGGAATAGCTCCAGGCATTCCTTGGTTTGCAGCTGCAGTGTCACGTGGCATCTTTCTTTCTCTCTGTTTGTTCTTTTTTTTTTTTTTTTTCTTTTAATAATAAGGGCACTCAGATGAGATTAGAACCCACCCTATTCTGGTGTGACCTCATGTTAACTCTGGTGGCATAGTGCCTAAGGCATTTGACTGCTAACCAGAAGGCTAGTGGTCCAACCCACCAGCCACTCCTCAGAAGGAAGTTTGAGCGATCACTTTCTTAGTGGTACTGTGTTGGAAACCCAAGGAGGGGTCGCTATGAGTCGGATCCAACTCCATGGCAGTGAGTTTGGTTTTATTTCCATGCAAGGTCATGTTCACAGGTGCCAGTGGTTAGAATGTCTCTCTCTCTCTCTCTCCCCCCCTTTTTTTTTTTTTTTTTTTTTGAGGGGGCTCAATTCAGTCCATAAGCCTCAAGGGCTAACTTCCTAAAAAGATGTTCATTTGCATTCTTACACATTCCCAGTGTTGTCCCGAAGCATAAGGCAACTCTGGGAGCACAGGACAGAATCTGTTCCTTAATTAAAGCCCAAGTGAGTTCCATCTGGTTGTCCTTTGAATCAGTGATCATCTCTCTATCTTGGAATTGACAGCACATCTGGGTAATCCTGTGGAACTCCACCCCAGTGTGCCTCTGCTACACATGGCCATGCACTATCTCTTTAAATGTGTTCTCACTGCTTTACATGATGATCACATCAAGCAAAAGTTATAAACGTAGCACAATTAGTAGCACCTCTGAATTCCAACTTTAAGAAGCTGGAGGAAGGGGAGTGGAAATGACAGTAGCTCAGGTACTCAAAGCAAACAGCAGTTCAAATATTCCAGCAAGTAAAGCATTAATCTTTTTCACCTTTTACTTTTTTGTCCTTCCCTTTGGAGGGGGGAGAGAGAATCTTCTTTTTTCTTTTTCTTTTTCTCTCTTGGATTCTCTCCCCCCCACACACATTTTCATTGTACACAAAAGCACTATTGAAATTACTGCTGCTTCATATATCCCTATCATTTCACAGGGAAGGCTTGATTCAAACTGTGAAGCTTATGTTTAAGACAAAGGATCAAACTGAGATGTTCCACACCTTATGTGATTCATTGGGTTAAAAGAAAGAATTGATTCCAAACTAAAGTGCTTTTAACCTGAGAGTATCTTTTAAAAAATGAAGTCTACCAAGAAAAAAAGGCACTGAACCATTGTGGTGTTTTGACACTTAAATGGCAGCTTCATACATTACATCAGTGTCTTTGATATTTTTTTTTTCTTTTCAGTTTTTGTAGTTCTACCAATTCCTTAAAAATTATGTGTGTTGTTAATAGGTTTTTATAATTTTGCAATGCTTTAAACTTACTCAAATTCTTCTCTCATTTTATCCTTTATAACTACCCTGTGAAGGAAGTATAACAGATATTTTGTTTTTAACAAATTAATAAAAGAGGTGAGGTGAAGTTAAGTCATTATGGAAAAACACATGATGACCTGAGTCCAGTCATTTGAAAGCCCACCTTAGTCGAGGTGGAGAGCTAAGTCACTATATTACCTTAAATAGAAGCCACAACCTCCTTAACAGATGAGACCTTTTACCACCTACCCTGCCTGCATTAGAGCACTCAATGCTCTTGAAGCTCCGGCAGTAATGGCCCGCTTGTAATTTCCTTCTAATTCATCATACTGTTTCATACCTCTAACAAGAATACCCTTACCTTCTTCTTCTCTATTCCAACTCCTACTGAATATTCTAGATTCATCTTAGACATGACCTCTAGCAAGAAGCCTTCCCAGAACCGTGTTTATCATTATCTGTTTATCTCTCTCCTTTACATTTTTTCCCCACACATGAATCCCCAGCATCTCACACAGTGTGCCCCAGTATGCAGTAGGCTCTCAATTGTTGATTGGATTGGATTGAATGTGTTACAAATGCTGCTGTTGTTGTTGTTTTAGCAAGTGCCCAGCAGGCACCTGTGATGGATGTACATTCTATTTCCTGTGGGAGAGTGCCGAAGCTTGCCCTCTCTGCACGGAGCATGACTTCCATGAGATTGAGGGAGCCTGTAAGAGAGGATTTCAGGTAAGGTGGCAAACCTACCGAAGCAGAACTGTATCATTAAAGATATAATTGGTTAGTCTGGCATAACTTACACCATAGAAACTCAAGTGCAGAGAGAGAGGCTAACGCTTATAGTTAATTGGATGGGTAGCTGTGAATGTGTCCTGAAATGAAACCAAACCAAACGTACTGCTGTCAAGTCGGATCCAACTCATAGTGACCCCTCCTTGGGTTTCTGAGGCAGTATCACTGCAGAAGTAGACTGCCCAACTTTCTTCCAGGGAGTGGCTGGTGGGTTTCAACCACCAGCCTTCTGGTTGGCAGTCAAATGCCTTAGACTACGAGACTGGGAAAATGAATTACGACAAGGGAGTTATAAGCTGTATTGCCTGGGTACTAAAGAAATGGTATTAGTAAATCAAGATGTTATTTATATAATAGAATTATAATTAAGATGGAATGGTATAAATGATTCACCATAAGAGGCATGTCTAAGAACTAAAGCATATTTCAAAGAGGTTATTATGGTCTAAAATATGCAATAATTTCCTTCAACTAGCCTATTAGAAAATACATACACACACCCTAATTGAGGTCATACCTTTGAGTTGCAGTGAGGCCACTGGGATAGCTGTCCACTGGGGTCATGTCTAAATAGGTGGGTCTCAGAGGCTCACTCAAACCAGCAAACACATTATCAAAATGGCTGGGATTGAGAGTGTAACCATGAAGTCAACTTGGAGTGAGGTCCAAAGGACGAGAAGAAAGAAAGAAAGAACAAAGAGTAAAGCTACTAATCAGGAGGGTTTAGAGAAAGCTGCATTCTTGGGAGGCAGCAGATCATAAAAGTTGAGCATACAGCCTGTGGAGTCACACAGTCTAAGCCAGTGTCCAGCTGTACACACTCCGATGTGTTATCCTGGGCAAGTGATTTTACCAGTCTGTGCCTCAGTTTTGGATAAATACTTCACAAGGATGTTAACACGATTCCACAGTAAATGTCAGCTCTCCTTTCCATTCCCCACCTCTGTCTCTTTTGTATTCCTCCTTATCATTATTGCGTTGTTTTAGATATTTCTTATCTAGTACATGGTACGGGAACCCCAAACCTGCACTGCTGTGAAAGGTTTAGAGTGGTGATGACACTTCTCTACCTGCATTTCAACTACTGCTTATTAGAAATTGTCCACCTCATCATTAGAATAAGAGCTATGCTCCCTGCTAACCCAGTTCTGGGGGAAAAGAACAGCAGGAAAATAGACTTCTGAATCACTACCATTCAATGTTTTTCTAAAAAATATTTTCTTTTTCTGAATGTAAAATCAATACAAAATAGTGTGGGCAATTTAGGAAAAACAGACTAGCACAAAGAAGGCAAATGAAAAATTTAAATTTAATCTCACCCCTCAGGTAATGATTAATCTTTTTTCCATTTTCATTTGGTATCTTTTTTTTCTCATATATACATATATTCACACACACTGTATTTTTTCTCTACAATGTTTTTGTTTGCTTATTATTATTAAATAAATTTGAGATTCTGCCCTATATATTTTTTAAGTTTGCTTTTCACATTTAATATATCATTAATTTTCTTTTGTCATTAAACAATTTTCTGAAAATACAGTTTTAATTTTTGATAAATATTCTGTTATTTCTATAATTTGGGATTTATGAATCCCCCTTTTGCAGGAAAAAATGGGAAACAATTCCCTTACAAATAACTCTGTAATGAAACATCCTTGTGGGAGTTTTTGTTTGTTTGTTTGTTAGTTTGTTTGTTTTGAGTTTACTATAGGGAGCTCTGGTAGCCTAGTGCCTAAGGCACTTGACTGCTCACCAGAAGGCTGGCGGTTCAAACCCACCAGCCACTCCTCGGAAGGAAGGTTGGGCAATCCTACTTCCGTAGTGATACTGCCTCGGAAACCCAAGGAGGGGTTTTTATGAGTCAGGGCCAACTCGACGGCAAACAACAACTAGAAAGAGATTAATTGGATCCAGGGAATGGACTTTAAGGTTCTTGATATATATCACTGAGCTGTGTTGATTGTGTCAATTTGCATTTCTACTGCAGTGTTTGATAGAGCCTTTTTACCACACTAGCTTATAGTAGTGTCATATGAAAAAAACCTTGCTTGCTTTAGGAACACCTGCTTACCACTTTTCTCTCCCTAAATTATACTGAAATTTCAGTACAGATGAGAATAAAGCAGTACAGTGCTGAGAATCCTAGTGCAGAGAGACATGAGAAGAACCAAGCTTTTGATGGGATTTCTGAGAGCTAGAAGGTAAATGGGATAGGGCTGACCTACGGGTCCTTATAGGAGCTCTGGTAGTGTAGTGCCCAAAGCATCTGACTGCTAACCAGAAGGCTGGCAGTTCAAACCCACCAGCCACTCCTCAGAAGGAAGATTGAGCAATCTACTTCCGTAGTGATACTGCCTCGGAAACCCAGGTCTGACTGGATGGCACACAACAACACAGGTCTTTATGGAGGGGACAGCATGTCACAAGAGTAAAGGCAGTTGGGGGAGTGAGAGCTTTTCTGCCCAGGGAAGCTTTGAAGGACCTTAGCTGGCAGATTGCAAGGCAGGAGCATGAGAGGGGGAAGAAGTCAGGGAACCCTCATCCAATCCCATGCATACAAAGTACTTGGCAGCAGTGGTATTCACCCCTGGGGGGGGGGCAGGAGGCACAGATAAATACTGTTTAAACTGGCATTTTTTCCAACTTTAATGACAGTGATCCTGTAGTGAATTGCGTTGTATAGCAAACTCAGTACATAGACACAAACTCAGATACACAGGGATATACCTAGAAATGAAATTCTTTCATGGAACAATACTTTTTTTTTTTTTTTTTAATATTGTATGATAAAGTACATGCATGAAAGTAATATAAACATGTTTGTTTATTAATATTTTAATACAACATAGGAAGAATCCCCAAATAGCACTAAAACTAACAGGAAATCTTTCATTCTATTCATCAGTTGTTACCGGCAGGTAAGTTTGTTTCAGCTCAGAGCACACAGGGAGAAGGCTGCTCACACATTTAGCACCCTGTTGAGCTAGTTTCTTTGTAGCATTTGCAAGTGGGTCAAGGATGAAAATTCCAATTTCCCAAAAATGGTTCTTTCTTAATCCTCGGAATACTAATGATCTACTTTTTCTGCTTTGCAATGGAAATTCGTCTTTTCCCTAATTCTAAAATTATGATAAACTTATAATCACTTTTTGTAGTAAATAAAAAGCTGACTGTATTCCCTTCTTTGGGTACCAAATTTGACTCAACAATTTTGAAAAGCTAAATGATATTTCAACCAAATGTTCTTTAATATTTGCCTTCTTGAAGGTAATGATCAGAAGGTAAAGATAGTGAAGGCACCAATTTCTCTAATTTTATTGCATTCAAATAGCTTCCATTACAAAGCTCTCCTCAGCATGTTATAAGAGTGTTGGGAACAAAGAGTTGCTAGATGATTCTTTTTTAAATATTTATTTTTGCCTGAAGAATAATATCTTTTGGAACACTTTGATGCGTTTCACATGTTGAAATATATGATTTCTTCCCTAGAGTTGCAAACTTAATTTGAGAAATTGAAAAAATCAATTTAGTATGCCCTTCTGTTATGCTCAATTATCAATTTTGAAAATATTTGCTAAATGGGATTGCATTTCAACTAGAAACATGTGAAAGTCATTCTTGAGTTCATACACCTTTCTTAGTGTGTTCTGCACAACAGCAAACAAACTGGGGTATGATGCAGTAAGTGAGTATGGTCACTTCCAATCTCTAAATAAAATCATTCAAAAAGTCAGCTCTTCTGTGCAGTTAACATTGTACAAGTAAAAATTTCTCTATGTTTTTCCATTTTGTCTATCAGTAAGGGTAGGTTTCTTTGGATACCAACCTTCATGATAGAGAAAGCAAAAAAGAAAAAAAGAGATTGCAAAATATTATTATGACTATCTTTTTATTTTGTAATAATACATTGTATTTCAGTCCTATTTTCTCCACCGTTTTTTACAGTTTTTCACTTTATATTGACTACAGTGTATTTTCATAGTTTTATGCATATATCCAGCTATGTATGAAGTTAAATTACACAACATATTAAACTCCACATATAGCAGATATAAACCACTAGAACAGCACAACTTATGATGAAAGTGCTTTCATCAAATTGGATCTCAAAAATCTATATCAGGGTCTAAGTGTGTATTAAGTATTACTTCTACTATCATGAACTAGTAAAGATTTAAAGAGATGCTATGCTATCACTAAAAGGAATGCTTTTTAATTTATTCTCAAATGCATTTCACTCTGTTCCCACAGTAATCCCTACATGCTGGAAGAATACATTTTTCAGCTGCAGTGTTAGCCATTTCTTTGTTTGCCAGTGGTGCATGAATGAGTGAAGTAATGAAGCTTTCCTTAATAACCATTATAGAATGACTAAGAAATTTTGCTAATATCTTGATTTTTTTTTCTTCTTTGATGGTATTGGAGGAACATTTTTAAAAATTCAGTATTCTGGGTTTACAATTATTATTTTATTTTAATTTTTATTGTGATTTGGATGAAAGTTTACAGAGCAAATTCACTTTCCATCCAGCAGCTCACATACACTTTGTCTCATGACATTGACTGCAATTTCCCACAATGCAACAGTTCCCCTCCCACTTCCTCTCTATAGTTACCTCTTACCTGTGTCCTTTGCTCCCATGCCCTCCTCTCCCCTCAAGCTGTCTCCCTGTGCTTACACAGCCCTTCTATTCTCCCATGATTGATTTCTCCAAGGAGTGTATCTGCCTAATATAAATGTTCAACTCATATGCCTGTCTTTTGTTTGGCTGGAAGCCACAGAAGTGGGTTCAATTCCAGATCTGAAGGGCAGCTAGGGGCGATAGTCTCAGGGGTTCTACCAGGCTCTGTCAGAACAGCAAACCTGGTCCCTTTTTTTTTTCCAAATGATTTTGAGTTTGTTTTTTTTTTTCCCCCCACATTGTTCTCCCACTCTATCCAGGATTTCTTACATAGATCCCCCTCCAGCTGGTTGACAGTGATAGTCATGCACCATCTAGTTCTTCTGGCCTCATAATCATATAGGCTGAGGATCACATTGTCTACTGGTCCCTTGGATTAATTGTTTCCATGTATCTTTGGTTGTCTTCATTCTTCTTTGCTCTGGACAAGGAGAGATCTATCTTTGCATCTAGATGGCCACTTGCAAGCTTTTAAGATCCAAGTCACTACTCACTACTCACCAAAGTAGGATGTAGAACAATGTTTTTGTGTAGTATGTTATGCCAATTGAACTTGATATCCCCTGTGGCCATGGTCTCAAGCCCACAGGTCCAACTACTCACTCCCTCCAGGTAGCTGGCTGTGGTCAAGCTCTACTATATATCTGGACATTCTTACAGTACATACAAATATGCTTGTAGAAACAGATTGTGATAGTCTTATTAAATCTTAATAAGATTTAGATGCTACTCATAGAAATTTTTGTTTTAGAAAGCCAGGCACCAAACAAACAAACAAGTCAGTGATCAGTTAATTTTGTTCCCCACCCTATGTAGGAATTATTTCACCACAGCTGAGTTTGGAGTGACTCAGATTTTATATCTCTATGTGTTTTTAAAAAGGGTGATGTAACAGAATCCTAGCGAGAATGCAGACCTTTGCAAGGCTATAAAATCAGAATTTCAGTGAAGCCTTTAGGCCAGAGAGAAAGCAAGCAGAATTTTATTGAGCTGCAAGAACAAGAAATAATTTTGAAAATCCTGTGTTCCTAAGATCAGAAGCAATTTGAAGAATTAACTGACAGATATACACCACAATGTTATTAGTGGTTTTCTCCAGGGGATGAGATCTAGGCTGAGTTCAACTTTCTTTTTTATCTTTTTT